CACAATCCTGGGCACATGCTTTAGGTGACCCTGCATGAGCAGGGGGGTTGGATTACATGATGTCCAGAGATCCCTTCCAACCTCATCTGTGTGATTCTGTGAGGGGCCCAGCGTTTCTGGTCGGGCCTGGGAAGGGCTGCATGGAGATGGTGCAATGCTGTTCTCAGTACACTGCAGGGCACACTCTGTTGTGGTAGGGGTTGTTGCTGCCAGTGCCTGGGGCTGCAGAGATTGCCTGGTGTCTCTTCCTTGGGCGGGGGTCAGCAGTGGCCTCTCCTGTGGGAGAGGAGTTCTGGTCGAAGGCCTGAGCCAGCAGGTGAAGGAGGCTCAAGGAGACGTGAGCAACTCATGCACCATTAGGGAAGAAGAGGGTGCTATGTCCCGGGCCTTTGGAGAAAATGCAGAGAGGAGCCGGAGCCACACAAAGCGTAGAAGGAAGGCGAGCTGGCGAGTATGGTCAAAGGGGTAGTGGAGGGTAGCTGTAAAGGTGTCGAAGGTTGGAAGCTTGTGACTCGTAGCAGGAGATGGGCTCCACGTGGAGGTTCAGCAAAGGTTTGTCCTGCCTTGGTGCTGGGGAGGTCAAACAGGCTCCGACAGGGGATGCCTCAAGAGCCAGCTGAGCCCAAACCCTGTGTCCACACAGAGGAGAAAAAGGTCGGAGATAGATAGTTACAGAAGGCTCCCTTCTTGGAGGCCTGGAAGCCTCTGTGTGCTGCCCTGGCTTGGTATCTTCAGGAGGTCGGTGGCTTGCCAGTGGCTTAGATCCGGGATGTTGCAGGGGCACTGCCAAGGCTTGTCCGACCCTTGGATTATTACCCTTGCTGCTCTTCCATGTGGGCACCAACGATATTACTAGGGGTAACTTGAAGCACATGAAGAGTGACTATGGATCTGTGGGGGTGAGGGTGAAAGGCACGGGGGTCCAGGTGTTCTCCTCAGTCTTTCCAGTGAGGTGGAAAGGCTTGAGCAGAAGTGAACTCATCCAGCGGGTCAACAGCTGGCTGCAGGGCTGGTGTTGCAGGCAGAGCTTTGGCTTCTGTGAGCACTGGGGTGGCTTTCAGGAGTGAGGGCACAAAGGGTAGAGCTGATGTATGTGAGGGTGAGCATGAGAAGGGAGGTGCTCACACTGCTCTGTGAAAGCAGCCAGGACTTGTGGCCACCTCAAATGCCTGTGCACTAATGCACTCAGCCTGAGGCAGAAGCAAGAGGCAAGAGAAGTCCGTCACAGCTGCAGAGCTCAGTGGGATTGCGGAGACTTGGTGGGAGAGCTGTCATGACTGCAGTGCTGCAGTGTCAGGATACAGGCTGTTTAGGAAAAGTGGGTTGGGAAGGCGAGGAGGAGGGGCTGTGCTCTTTGCGCAAAGGAGCGTTTTGTGGGACTGGAGCTTTGTCTTGGGCCAGTTGAGAAAGGAGCAGGTAAAGACTGGAGAAGAGTCCGGCAGAAGTGATGTTGTAGAAGGTATGTGCTACGGTCTTGCTGGTCAAGGAGCAGAGGCAGAGGAAGCCTTCTTCAGGCATCTGGAGGAAGGCTCTGGGGAGCTGTGGACGCCTGGGCTCTCTGCTGGCAGTAAGGTCTGCAGGGTAATGCAGAGTCCCCAGATGTGTGGGTTGCCTTTGGGCAGGAAGAGTGTACAGGGTAGAGTTTTGCCCTGGATACCCAGTTTGCCTGCGGACTGGAGGGCTCATGGGGTGGAGCAGGGCCTTCTAGATGCACAGGGAACTTGTGAACAGTACAGCCTATGGGGTAGAGCAGGGCTTCCTGGTGGGAACGTGGTCTGTGGAGTAAAGCAAGTTCCCTCAGACACCTGGGTGCCCTGCTGGCACGAAGGTGACTGCAGGAAGAGCAGGGCATCCTGGATGCCTGGGTTCCCTTGGGACAGGAAGGCTGATGGAGTGGAGCAGGTGTTCCCGGATGGCTGGGTTCTATCACCCAGAAGTCCCTGCCACAGAGCAGAGCAGGGTGTCACTGAGGGCACTGCACTGTGCCACTGGACCAAGCTGGGAGAGGAGGGGGTGTTTCCTGGTGGACGTGTGTTGTTCCCCTGTGAGGAGCCCAGGGGTGTGTGTGTGTGTGTGTTCCACCCCAAAGCTGACCTCTGAGAGAGCTCCTTTCCTCTGCTTGCTCCTTAGCCCTGGGAGGGAAGGGGCATGTGGCAGGCTGGAGCAGTTTCCTGCTGGCCCCGTCTCTTTCCCTTGGGCTGCGCTGAGCAGGGTTTGAGATGGGCCTCCCGGATCCTTTCCCTTCCTTCCCTTCCCTTCCCTTCCCTTCCCTTCCCTTCCCTTCCCTTCCCGGCCTGCGGACACCAGCCACTGGCAGAACAGAAAGGCCTGGCAGTGCTGCACCGTGTGGCTGCAGGGGCATGACTGTGGCTTGCTTTCCTCAGGGTTTCCTAAAACCAGCTGAGCAGCTGTGTTGGGTTAGACAGTCCCGTAGAGTTAAGGTGAGGCAGACTTCACACCCATCACGGAGAGATCCGCACTAGTTGGAGGACGTGGTTTATTCACCAGTATTCCTCGTACAGGTGGCTGATCAGCATGGTACAGCTACGGAGCAAAAAGCACTGTTCAGTGTTAGGCAGAGGGAGGCGGCAGAGAACTACTGTGGGCCTCGTTCAGGCCAGGTATTCTGGGGCCTGCTGCTGATGGCATTGCAATGGTCTCTACCATCCGTGTGCCCCCTGAAAATCCTATTCCGGTGCCCAAGAGCTCTCCCTTGGATGTCAGGGCTATCTGACCCCAGGCAAGACTCCAGATCGCACTGCTATCCCCCAAGAAAGGCCAGGAAAAGTCCCTCTTCTCCCCACGGGGTGGGGAAGGGCACTGCTGGAGGGGGAGGCATTGGCCATAGCAGGAGAGATTTACCCGTGGGATGGCTCCCCTTCGCCATCACTGTCTGCACATGTCCTTCCCGTCTGTGTCCTCTTGACTTTCTCCACAAGACGGGTGACTCCAGCACGCAAGGTCTGCAGAGTCCGCGGGGAAATGCTCCTGTTGTGGCAGGACAAAGTCACATTTTGGCTGAGACCTCCTGCCTCTCTCCTTGCCCAGCCCCTGCACACACAGGCTCCCCCATGCGGACCCACAAGCCCTTCAGCTTGGGAGGGGGGGTTAGGCATTTGCTTGGGGCTGCAGACTGCTGCCTAGCATCAGGGCCTAACGCAGGCCGTTCCCATGTGCTGCCATAGCTAACCCCAGGGTGCAGCGAGAGGGATGCGTGTCCTGCAGCCGAGTCACAGCCGCTCATCTGCCCCAGGCCAGGGCTGGAGCTGGCTTTAACTGACCTTCTTGCGGGGACCTCGTTGTCCTCTGTGGGATGGTTTCCTCCAGCCTTTTCCTGTTGCTCCATTTTCCGAGGAGTGGAAGATTTCTGTGAAGAACAGGAGACCTTCTTACAACAGTGCTGCTCAGTAGTCTCAGGAAAATGCTCTGTCAGCTACTGTCTACTTTGCTCACTCTTGCTTTTTCTTTCCACTTCACCCACCCCCCCAAAGCAAGCACAAGCTTGGTGGCTACTTTTACTTCTCTGCTGGGCTTCTCTGCGCTTGTGCAAGGATGCACCTCTGCCGAGGGCTGAAGTCTTCCTTCTCTATCGGGGAGAACGCTGATGGCTTCCTCTGTGGGCAACTGAAACAGTGGGAAAGACTGGTTCTGGTTTTGTTCTTGGTCAGCGCGCTTAGGAGTGAATCCCAACAGTTCAGTTAACAAACCACCCTTACAAAGGTACATGACAAATCGTGTGAGCGACCCTGCCAATAGAGGTGGAATAAATAAAAGGATGCCCGGCAGCTGTGCCTCAGCAGGAAGCCTGGGCGCAGCTGGCTCAGACCACTAGACTGTGGGAGCCCGTGTTCAGAGTCAAGTGCAGGCGGAGGCTGCCTGAGGTGCAGCGAGGGGTGGTCAGGGCATACCCTCCTGCCAGCAGATTGTTAGTCTTGCCCTTTGGGCCTTGGTGACCCCACCCCTGTGTTCTAAGCACTTAGACTAAGGTGCTCCTTTCAAAGTGAGCTCCACGTAACGTGGTTTTGGGGTATGATGAACACGCATTAAGGGATATGCAACGCGCCACTATCAGTGGAGTTCTGCTTTCCTACCAGTCCAAACCGCACAAGTAATTAGGTGAATCTGTCTCACGTACCTGTTGTTCTTCCTCAATACTCCCACATTTAGGGCACACGTATAGGACTCTTGCTCGAGTGGTGACTGCCTGCTTGCCGCTCTCGCCCTGCATGCTGCTCCCTTGGATTGCTGGAAGACGACTGAAAATATACAACAGCGTCAAGAACATCAGAAAGCAGCCTCCTTCTCTGGGAGTGCTTGTAGACCAAGCACTTCCTCAGCAACCACTAGTTCATTGCGATCAAAAGGCAATGAGGAGAAGGGCCTAATCTTCTGCAACAAAGCACATGCACAGCTACCCGAGCACAGCAGCACCCTGACCCGCTCCTCCAAGAGGCTCACCTGAGAGACTTCTTCTTCCTTTTGACTCTCTGCCCTTTGTCTTCCTTGGCTTCGGCCCCAGCAATCTTGGGCAGGGAAAGCTGGTCTCGGCTAAGGGGGCGGCTGGCAGGAGCGCTGCCTGTGAGGAGGAGACGAGAAAGCCTTTCAGAACAGCATTGCTGGGAGGTGCGTAGCCGGACTGCTGTGCAGCTAGATCTGCTCAGGCCTGTGATCTCACTCTGCAATGCAGTGCCTCTGCGTGCCTTGGAGCCCTGTTTTGCGGGAGCTCTTGGCCCTTCCTGGCCCCGGGAGCTTGCCCAACTCCGACTTTCTAGCGTGCAGCAACATTCTCCGTGGTCCGAGGTTTGTATTGCTTTGCCTTGTCCTTCTTCAAGACAAGGGGCTCAGTGAGAGGTGGCAATGACCTCACTGCATGTCTTTGCGGGGAACAATTTCACCTCAAGGAATGTGTTTCCTGGAGCTCTCTGAACGGGTCTTGTAGATTCGTTTTCTCGTTCGCTCCTTTGCTCCATGGGCACATGCATGCCACAGGCATTGCTTTGGAGCTGTTTATGAGCAATTCACAGGGAATGGCTTGCCAGGGGAGGCGACATTGAGGCACAGGTTAGGAGCCTTCTTTCCCTTGGCTCTGGGTGATTTTTATTGTGACATGGAAGCAGGCCGCTTCTGTGAGATGTGTCCTCCCCTTGGTCACGGACGTCTCAAGGCAGAGTTTGTTCCTCGGGGCAGTGGGGGGAAGGCGTACCTGTTGTTCTTCCTCAATACTCCCACATTTAGGGCACACGTATAGGACTCTTGCTCGAGTGGTGACTGCCTGCTTGCCGCTCTCGCCCTGCATGCTGCTCCCTTGGATTGCTGGAAGACGACTGAAAATATACAACAGCGTCAAGAACATCAGAAAGCAGCCTCCTTCTCTGGGAGTGCTTGTAGACCAAGCACTTCCTCAGCAACCACTAGTTCATTGCGATCAAAAGGCAATGAGGAGAAGGGCCTAATCTTCTGCAACAAAGCACATGCACAGCTACCCGAGCACAGCAGCACCCTGACCCGCTCCTCCAAGAGGCTCACCTGAGAGACTTCTTCTTCCTTTTGACTCTCTGCCCTTTGTCTTCCTTGGCTTCGGCCCCAGCAATCTTGGGCAGGGAAAGCTGGTCTCGGCTAAGGGGGCGGCTGGCAGGAGCGCTGCCTGTGAGGAGGAGACGAGAAAGCCTTTCAGAACAGCATTGCTGGGAGGTGCGTAGCCGGACTGCTGTGCAGCTAGATCTGCTCAGGCCTGTGATCTCACTCTGCAATGCAGTGCCTCTGCGTGCCTTGGAGCCCTGTTTTGCGGGAGCTCTTGGCCCTTCCTGGCCCCGGGAGCTTGCCCAACTCCGACTTTCTAGCGTACAACAACATTCTCCGTGGTCCGATTTTTCCCATGCTTTCTCTCAATGCGTCTTCTGAAAAGGGGTCTCAGTGGATACTGGGGAGACCCCTACTGCCTCTCTGGGGAGGGCTGGTTCATTTCCCCTGAAGGAAGAGTTTCCTGGAGCTCTGAACTGGTCTCAAAGACCCCTTGCTTATTTTCTATGCGGGCACACGCATCCCATGGCCCATTGCTTTGGAGCTGCTTATGAGCAATTAATAGAGAACGGTCACAATGTACTGCTTCCTCGTTTGGGCTCCCTGCTGCACAGAGCGGCTTGTCAAGTGACAGGCCTGTGTGTGTGTAATATGTGTTGGACAGGAGGAAAAGGCTCAAATCTCTGCCAGGAAGGAACGAGCTCTGGAATTACCTTTACAGGTGCTTCTGTTCTCCCCACTGCCTTTCCCTTGCTCCCCCTGCACTGCCCTTTGATCTCGCCATGTGGCAGAGGCTGCCCGGTATGGAGAAGCTGCAATTGCAAACCTTGAAAAAGGAAGGGGACATAAACAAAGATGACAGGAGAGTCCCAGAGGGGCCTGCCCCTCGCCTGCCTCCGGCAAGCACGTGCTCGTCAGCGTGCCTCAGCTTACCAGGCTTCCAGGGCGAGTACAGATACCAGTGCCCAAAGGACACAGCGCACTCGCACAGCTACCTGAGCACAGCAGCACCCTGACCCGCTCCTCCCCGCCTCTCGTCCTTTGCCTGCAGCCCTCAGAGGAGAATCTGCTTCTGCCTTCTCTACATCCTCCTATTAGGTAGATGAGGACAGCAATGCCATCTCCCCTTTGTCTTCTCCAGGCTGAACATACCTTCTTTCTTCGGTTCCTCCTTGTGTGCTTCACGCTGCAGCTCCTTCTTTATTTCCGCATCTCTCCCTTCTGTCTTTTCACCCTTCTTTTCCTGGATGGGGGCTTCTGGTAAGGGCACGGGGATGTTCTCTGCTAAATCTCTTGCAATCCTAGAAGCAAGAGGATGACAGCAGCTGGGAGAAAGAGCACCACCTTCCTTTTGCAGCTTGCATTAAAAGTCAGGTTGCAGAGGTATTTTGGAGGGGCTTGGCGAGACCACAGATTTCCAAAGCGGCGCACGCAACAGCCGTGAGGGCTGTATGGGGTAAGCGCGGGACACAAGAGTCTATGCTATGCTTAGGTGAGAGGGTTTATTCTAGCACAAATGCTCCTTCCTGCCAAGAGAGATCATCTTGCATCTCGCATCCACTTTTTCCCATGGAATCTCTCTCGGGCAAAAGGAGGAGCAGAATTAGGTGCAGGTTGGAGCCACAGTCTAGGCTGGGAATGTAAAACATAGCCGTTGTTCCCTGTTGGTCCACCTGATGGCACACCAATCGCAACACATGCAAGAGCAAGCCTGAGTGAAGCGGGAAGTAGTTGTTTGAAAGAGTTTGTCAGGAATAATGCTGTGAGCAGAAAAGGCCTGGCAAGCCGGTGTGACCAAAGAAACATGGCTGGAGAAGCTGTTTGCTTGGTGAGCCAAGGGCTGCAGCGGTAAAGGTACTCACGCTGGAAAGACGAGGACACAGCCAGGATGCATTTTATAAACCGCTGCTTCCCTGCTTGTTACGACCAAGTCCTCTGTCTGTGGATTCTGCAGCAGAGACAAAGACAGGAGAGAGGACTCCAAGGAAAGGCTCTCCCCGCTCACAAGGACAACAAGTCTTTCCACTGCTCAGAGAGGCCTGTCTCCTGAAACCCTCTCACCACCCACTCCTTCATTAACATTAGCCTCTCTCTCAAAGGCATAAAAACCCTGCGCGCAGCAAAGAAATTGGTCCCGGGTGGCAACATTGACAGGCTTTCAGCAAGGTCCAGAAGGAATCGGTTCGGTCAGCAGCAGTCCTTTCCTAAGGGGGAGGTGAACGGAGGCAAGGGGCTGCGCAGGTTGGGACAGGCCAGTCCACTTCACACTTCAGCTCCCAACTCCTGTGAGAGCAGACCAGCAGGAGTCTGAGGAGCACTGGGAAAACTTACACTGCACAGAGCTTTCATGAGGTTTCCACTCCAGTCCACAGTGAGGAGAAACTGGTCGCAATATCTCATCCTCACGTCTTTTCCACGGACGACGAGAATGCCCACGTCCTTGAGAACAAAGTCTACGTTCTTGCCGTCCAGTAGGTAGCAAGCAAACAGGAACACGGTCTCGTCTACGCATCCCTGCACTGTGTCCGGAGAAAAGGCGGCCTCCAAGGCAATCCTTGGGTAGTTCAACTGCGCAATTTCTCTGTCCCCTAGAAGATAACAGAAAAAGAACAAGTCATTCTGAGACCTTCTGGTGGGCTGGTGGGCTTCTCTCCATCACTTCTCGGCAGCAATTAGCTACTGAGAAGACGTCACAAGGAGAAGGCAAGGTTTTCACCTGTCTTCTTACCAAGAATCTCTTCGTTAGCAGGTTTGAGCCCGCGGAGCTCCACAAAAGCCTCGGAGGGCATGAATACGGGTCTCCGAAGAATGAAAGGAGCCTTGCAGCCACTGGGATATTGCTCCTTAACAATAAAGAATGTCCCAATTCCAGTTATTTTGACAGCCTGAAACGAGAAACAGATAAAGGAAAGGGAACAAGCCAGTGAGTACTGTTCACACGTGAAAACGCACTGATGACTTGGAGGAGCGTGGGGAGAGGGCTTGGTGCACTGCCCTCTCCTGAATGGGCAAAGGGGCAGGATGGGGCAGCACTTCAAAGCTTTAGCAAACACCGAGGTGTTGTGCATTTTTTTTCCTCTGCCTCCTTCCTCTTGGCTCTCTCGAAAAACTGTGGTGCCGTAAACGCCAAGAAAACTTGTCTTGTCTAGGTACAATCCGAGGGCTTTCCAAGAATGGGCACAAGCCGGGAAAAATTTCCCAGGGTAGGTGTCTGCTCTTTCCACGCCAGCAGTGGGGAAGACAGAAGGCTCAGGAAGGAGGCCCACTTTCTCCGTCTGGACCTGGACTGCATTTTTGAGTGGAGTGAGTGGAGTCACTGGTCCGTGGCACGCTGATCCATTGCAGCGTCTCTCTCCCCCCCGTCTTCAAAGGAGGCGAAGAGCAAGCGTGCTGCATGGCATGGAGGGGTGTCCAGTGCCGCTGCACTGCTGGGGCTTGAGGGGAGGAAGAGGACCCAAATCCCACCTTGTTCAGCAGCAGCTGTAGCCGAATGTAATGAGACACAGCAGCCCAAATCTTGGTGACATCTGGAAAGCAAGTGACGGGCGTGTGATGCATGCTTGGAGTCAGCAAGCTCACAACCACCCAGCACAACCAAATCGAGGAGATGACAGGTGCAGGTGTGAGCAATCCCCCCTGCCCACGAGCACAAACACAGCCATGAAAGGGACTGCAGAGCTCTGCCCTTGATGGACTAATGACCAAATGCCTTATTCTCACCCCCAAAGTGGACTGGTGCTGAAAGAGAGGCAGAGAGGTTTGGAGAAGGGAGGCTGCCTGCAACAGCAAGAATGGGAAGGTGTGCCAGAGGTCAAGCTGAGAAGGAGCTGCAGGACACTTGAGGCTTCTTCCAGCTGGCCTCCTCTCCTTTCCGATCCACATCTCAGAGTGTGACCCTGTCCCTAGGGAAACCTGGCAATGCTTTGCCACCCCAGTGAGAAGACAGTGCTGCGCCCCCCGCCCTCCCTCCCCCCCCCCCACGAGTCTTGTGGGCTCCAGGCATCCCCAGGTTTCTCCTGTTCAGGGTCCCGTTGGTCTCCTATTTGGTCCCTGCACACACAGCCTCGTCACGGCTGCCTGAGCTTCTCCAATTGCTGCCTGCAGCCAGGAGCTCGGGGGGGGCCAATGCCCACTGCAAGGCAAGTATCGACCCCTGGTGCCAGGGACTGCTGCTTGGAGGTGGCCCAGGAAGGCAGGGACAGGGCTCTTGTTGCAGTCACCAGCCCTGTCCCACCATCCCCCACATGCCCAGGGCTTCCAGAGTTTTTTTCTACCTACTGTTCCCTGTGAGATCACCCGCTGAAGCTCCTGAAGGCCTTACCGTCACGGGTGAGCTTCCTGAGGGTTGGGCAGATGTCAGGCCCCGGGAATGCCATCTCTCTCCCTCCTCACTTTGGTTAGCTCCTTCCGCTGGAGGGTGAATAGCAAATTCCTCCTCTCTGATCTCCTCCTGCCCTGCACTTCACAAAACAGGCTCCAAGCGCTGTCCTGCTGCCTCCCTTTGCCTTCTCCTCTGTGCTGCAAAGCAGCTTCTCCAGGGAAAAGGGGTTGCAAGAGCAGCCAGCAGCACCTGGGCTCAGCCCTGCCTCGCAGTGAAGTGTGGGGGGGCCTGGGAGCTGTTGCTATGACATGGGAACCTCCCATTGTTACCCCAGCCTGTGTCACAGGGCAACTGCACCTGCCCAGCACCCCTACGCCTCCCAGGATCCTGCCAGGTTGTCACAATTTGTGATGCTTTTCCACACAGGCCTTGCACCTCTCACAGCAAATCACAGCTGCACAACCAGTTTTTTTTTTAAGATCCCGGGCCTTGTGCCTCTGTAAACATTGCCTAGATCTGCACAGCAGCCTGCAGCTAGGGCACCTTCCCTGTGCCCCCCAGTTAACAGCACAGTCACAAGACAAGCAGAGCTGGCACTCATATTTACGGCTCCCCGTGGTTATGCAGTGTATGACAAAGTTCACCAAAGTTGCTCGCCCCAAATACCTTCTGGACCTCCTTAACACCATAATTGTGTAAAAGGAGGAAACAGGTCTTGGGCTCAGACGGTCGTCTGGCTTTAAAATCCTCCAACCCTTCCCCCGCTCAGCTTGGAGGATGATGCGTATATTCCGAGAATCACAGACCGGCTGCGATTGGAAGGGACCTCTGCAGATCGTGTGGTCCAGCCCCGCTGGGGTCCAGCATGGTCACCGAGAGCAGGTTGCCCAGGACCACGTCCAGTCGGGTTTTGAATATGTCCAAGGATGGAGGGGCCACAACCTCTCTGGGACACCTGTTCCAGTTTTCAACCCCCTCCTCTCAGGGAAGAAGTGTTTTCTTGTACTCGAGTGGAATTTCATGTTTTTCCGCTTGTGTCCCTCGCCTCTCGACCTGTCCCTGGGCATCACCACCAAAAAGAGCGTGGCTCTGTCTTCTTTACACTATCCCATCAGGTAGTTAGTTATACACCCTGAGGAGCTCCTCTCTGAGCCTTCTCTTCTGCAAGCCAAACAGTCCCGGTCAGGGAGCAGGGAGACCAGTGGCTCCCTGCGGGATGGGGAGCTGGGTGGTGAGTGTGATAACAAGGCCGGGGTGGCAGAGGCCTGGCCGTTCAGGGCCCCATCCCACCGTACGTAGCAAGGCGAGCAGGGTAGGCCCAGGGGTGGTAGTTCAGATCGTCAGACAAGTCTGTAGTGATGAGGTAGAGCTGAGGTCAAGCCAAGAAGCCTCTCTGTGGGCCAGGGACCAAGGCTGGATCAGCAGAGTGAAAAACCTCCAGGCAGCCAATGCTCCGAGAGGGGCGATGTTCTCAGGGCTCTTACAGTAACATGCCAACTTGGGTGCAAGAACACCTGGGGGGACTGTGACCAAACCTTGCTGAAGACAAGGTAAATGACATTCCCCGATCTTCCCTTGTCTGCAGATAAAGGCCCTTCAACACTGAAAGCAATCAGTCAGGTTGGTTAGGCATCACTTACCCTGAATGGGACCCGAAAGCAGCAACCAGCGCCACAGGCAGAGCACGTGAATGGGGCACAGCCCGTGTCCTGCTGTTACATGCCCATGCAGATGTCTCAGAGCTGCACTTTAAAAGACTTAGAGATAAGTTGTTGTGGGGTGAGAGGGCAACTGGAGAATAGCAACGGGATGGGTACTAAAGGCTTGCTGCTGGATTTCTCTGCCTGAGATAACGCCCAGTAGGTACCCATGGCAGTTTGGAAGCAGAACCATCTCTGCAATGCTGCTTCCAAACTCGGGAAAGTGGGAGAAAGAGGCAGGACACAAAAGTGCTCTGGGACCGTGGTGTCGTTTACAGGGAACATAACCCAAAAGCTATGCCCAGTACTCCGAGCAGCCCCAGTCCTCCCTGGCTACTCACTCAGGCAAGTCTAGCAACACAGGGCATTTCAGCAGGGCCTTTCCCAGACAGATGTGGGCTCCCTCTGCCCACGCTCCCAGTCAGGCCGACGTCAGCCAGCTGCAGCCCAGAGCAGTGCAGCCAGGTCAGCACAGTGCGGGGCCAAGCAGATAATGTGCAGGCTTTCTGCAGGCCTGAAGAGCTTGAGCTCAGCGTTGCACCGGAACAGTTACGTGGCCTCTGTTCTGGAGCTGGCTTGCCTCTGCCCCTGTGCAGCCTGGGCAGGGAGACCTGGTGCCTGGGAGTGAGAACCATCCAGGTGTGCTCTTACCCTGGGCAGAGGCTGCCACACATGGAGGGCGCAAAAGAGGGGTAAGTAGGGCCATCCCCAGCCCATCGTCAGCTATACCCTCTGCCTATCGAGCTCTGCTGCTCCCCCATATAATAATCAGATCTTTCGGGATTGCAGTGGACTTCCAGTCAGCATGTAAAGGGAGAGCTGGGAGGGCTGTGAGCTGAGGAACAGGAGAGCAAGGCCCTACAGCTGCCCCAGCTGTGGCCAATGAAGTGCCCTGGGGTGAGCTAGCAGAGACCCCCTCCAGTCCCAGGTTTGGATGCCTGTCATGCCCCTGACACAGCTCTGACTTGATGGGCTGGAACCCAGCACCTGCTCCTGGGCCTGCCATGGGACTGTGAGATTGAGGCGGGGCAGCTCCACCGGGGACCAGGCCCTTGGCAGGGCAGTTCAGAGAGGGCCTGGGCCGATGGTGGAGCAGCCAAAAGAGGGCTGGGGCTGATGGCGGGGCAGCTTGAAGAGGGCGTGGGCCGATGGCAGGGCAGCTGCGCCAGGGGCCAGGATTATGTGGGGTAGCTGAAACAAAGAGGAGGCCTGGTAGCGAGGCAGCTCCAACAGGGCCTGGGCTGATGGCTGGGTAGCTCAAAGAGGGACTACACTGATGGCGGGGCAGCTCACAGAGGGTGTGGGCCTGGCTAACACCAAGGCCTGCTGGGCTGCTGAGAGGGCAGCTGAAAGAGGGCCCAGGCTGATGGTGTGGCAGAGCAACCAGTGCGTGTGCCGATGGGGCATGCGAAAGAGGGCCTGGGCCGATGGCGGGGCAGCCCAACCAGGGTCTGAGTGTAGCTGGGAAGCTGAAACTGGAGCTGAGCTTGTGCAGGCTCAGCTCCAAGCGGGACTTGGCCTTTGGCCTTTCCATTCGGGCTCAGCTTTTAGCCATGTAGCTTGGACTCAGCGTTTGGCGGGGCAGTTCAAACAGAGTTGTGCCTGTTTGCCTGGCAGCTGTTAGGACGGCTGCAAGCACGGTTCAGGATGCTGCTGTGGCCAATATTTGCTGTCAGTGCTCTCGGTTTTCTTGGCAAGTCCGGACTCTGCTCTCAGTTCTACTTGGAGCTTCTTCTGGGTCCTTCATATCCGGGCTCCTGGTGGGAAAGTGTGACTCTGGACTGGAGTGGTACAAGCATAGTTTGGGTTAGGAGCAGCAGATGGAGACTCCACAACCTCTTGGGGCAACCTATTCCAGTGCTCGACACCCTCACAGAGCAGCAGAGAGAGACATAGCAGCTGTCGCTGCATTTAGCATAGAGGGTGCAGTTGCAGACAAGGAAGGGCTGGTTGGAGACATGAAGGCTGGGGGCAACCTTGGCTGCAGTGATCATGAGATGATGGAGTTTATGATCCTGTGAGGAGGGAGTAAGGCAAAAAGGGGGCTCACTACCCTGGACTTCAGGAGAGCTAACTTTGGCCTCTTCAGGGACCTGCTTGGAAGAATCCCATGGGATAGGGCCCTAGAAGGGAGAGGAGTCCAAGAGAGCTGGTTAATATTCAAGGATAACTTCCTCCAGGCTCCAGAAAGGTGGATAGCCCTAGGAGTGGAAGCAGGGACACATAACCTGGGAGGGATATCAGGATGTTGTCCAAGCATGCAGGGATGGGGCTAGAAGGCCAAGGCCCATCTGGAGTTTAATTTGGCGAGGGACGTCAAGGACAAGAAGAGGCACTTTTTAAATACATTGAAAACAAAAGTAAGACTAGGGAAAATGTGGGCCCGCCGCTGAATGGGGCAGGGGTCCTGGTGACAAAGGACACAAAAAAAGGCAGAGATACTGAATGCCACCTTTGCTTCTGTCTTTACTGCTAAGACCAGCCCTCAGGAATCCCAGACCCTGGGGACCAGGGAGAAAGTCTGGAGAAAGGAAGACTTTCCCTTGGTGGAGAAGGATCAGGTTAAGGATCACTTAAGCAAACTGGGCATCCACAGGTCCATGGGCCGTGGTGGGATGTACCCACGAGTGCTGAGGGAGCTGGCAGATGCCGTTGCTAGGCCACTCTCCACCATCTTGGAAAGGTCCTGGTGATCGGGGGAGGTGTCTGGGGACTGGAAGAAAGCCAATGTCACTCCAGTCTTCAAAAAGGGCAAGAAGGAGGAGCCAGGGAACTACAGGCCAGTCAGCCTCGCCTCGATCCCTGGAGAGGTGATGGAGCAGCTCATCCTGCATACCAATTGCAGGCACCTGAAGGACAAGAAGGTGATCAGGAGTAGTCAGCATGGATTTGCAAAGGGGAAAGACCTGTTTGCGGCGATCTGATCAATGTGTATAAGTATCTGAAGGGGGAGTGTCAAGAGGTCCCTTGACTTCAGTGAGGCTGACTCAGTCTCCCATAACATCCTCATAGTCAAGTTGATAAAGTAAGGGTTAGATGATCAGACAGTGAGGAGGACTGAAGACTGCCTGAATGGCAAAGCTCAGAGGGTTGTGATCACAACCCTCACAAAGTCTAGTTGGTGGTCTGTTGCTAGAGATGTCCCCCAGGGGTCAATACTGGGTCCAGTACCTTTCCATTCCATGAGTGTACCCTCAGCAATTTTGGAGAGACATGGAACTACTGGAGCAACTCCACTGAAGGGCTAATAAGATGATTAAGGGATTGGAGCATCTCTTATATGAGGAAAGGCTGAGAGATCCTGACTGTTTAGCCTGGAAAAGAGAAACCTGAGGGGGGATCTTATCAATGTTTG